CCCACTCATCCCACCCAGGATGGTTTTATAAGCTGGGTCGCAACAGTTGGTTTTTATACAAGGGGAAAGACAGCAACACTGGTCAACTAAAAGCTGAAAAACTGGTTGAAGGCAAAACCTGGCAGGTAAAAGGATGATACTTCTCAAAAACTTCCCAGTCAGCCATGGGGAATTGATGAACAGAGTTGCAATGACCTTGCAATAAAGGTTCACAGCAAGCAGACAACTTCAAATTCATTAAGGGCGTTGATCCGCTTGATTTGGAAAAGACTTGTAGAACTAAATCACCCTTCCACAGCCTCAAAATATTAAGCCTGCAATCAAACAAAGGCTAGTCTTCTGTAGAGAGAAAAGTCAACTACATATGATAAAATAAGTTGCTGACGTACACTTTGTCTAGGAAACTTCCTAGACAGGACAACAATTACACTGAAGGAATCACCAAGAAATATAGCTTGCAGAAATGGTCCTGTGCAACAATGCCATTAAGATTAATCTTGCTAGACACAAAATCAGACTGTTCAAGACACATGGTTTCTTTATCCTTCAGGATGGTCAACTGAAATAAAATGATGACTTCATAAATCTAGTTCAATGGAAATTCTGGACTGGAGCCAACCAATGAGACCACAAGAGAAAAATCAGAATTATAAGAAGGACAGTCAAATAATGTGTCAAAAAAAAGTTAGGTTTTCAGACACATTTGCTAAATTAAGGAGGACAGATCGCTACAGATTACCCTCTTTGACCAGTTAGAAGTGTGTAAATGAAGAAGAAGAGTAGGCAGGAAGCAGATACTTGATGTAAGACCACATGGGGAACAAAAATGCAAGAGGCGAAAGACTGCACAACAGAAAGACAGTATAGCACATGCCTACAGTCAGAACTCGTTGCATTATGGAGCAGGATTGTTTAATTATTCTGAACACAGTAATTCAGAAACAAGTCTTAACAGATGACAAAATTTGTTTCAGACAGGCATATATCTAGTGCAGTGGAGAAGAAAAGAAAATAATTCAAATGTGGCCAATTAAAAGTAACCTTTTGTGTCATGGTAATAGCTACATTTCAGAGAGATAAGGAGAAATAAGGTATCAGAAAAATCTGAGATAGAGCAACTACTATAATCTTAAGAGATGATGGTAAGAGATGTAAATTTGGGTGGTTGGGGCACAGAGACAGACAGAAAACATGGGACTATTACAGCAGGAAGCAACAGAGGAAATTTGGGCTCCCAAAACAGGGGCGGGAAGGGGAGGAGGTAGTGAAGCCTAAGGAAAGACAGTAAAATGCAGCCTGAGGTGCTGAAGTAAGTGGTAGTTGTAGAGGATAACACAGAGAGTAGATGTAAGGGACCTGTCCACCTCCTGATCCCCTCTAGTTAGAACCCAAGAGTCCCGATTGCTGATTCCCCAGGAGGCTACACAGCAACTGGTATTTACAGCAGCAGTTGTTTGTTTCCAGAGGTAACCATGCAGCACCTAGCACCTGGGACATGGGGGATGAGAGGCCTTGCTTGCCCACCAAGGAAGTGAGCCAGCAGGTGCTCTTGTTGGCCGCCAGGCAGAGGCCAGGAGACACCACTCGCACAGTGAGCCAACATGCTGCAAGTGAGGTTATTTCTGTGGCACGTGCCAGCTCCTGGCACCAGGCAAGTGCTGGAGGCTAATGGGAGAAAGGAGAGGAGCTGAAGGTACATCTCAAGTAAAGAAGAGGGGAGACTGAGTGCTTTGTCTTTTCAGAAATATGAGTTACATCTCCACATTCTGAAAAAAAACCCACTTGTCAAAACCAGCAATGAAGCCATAAGTTTCACAGTCACGACAATAGCTATAAGGAATAAAAACACATCAACTCAAGGACTCTTACATTAATTTCTGAAGCATATTCACAAGTTAAGTAGCTTAGTTCCCCCGACCCTCAGAGCATTTCAATTTAAATGCAGAGTTTTCTTAAATGGTTTGAGGATGCTTGAATAAGTATCGCTGATACTCGATCTGAGAGAACAACTTTGCTGAAAACTTTTCTTCAATAAATCAAAAAGCACAGACTTTTTCCAAAGGAAAAGTAGAAAATAGCAAGGCAAGATGTACTTCTATACGAATATCAGTTTGACGTTCTCCATAAAAGGATGTACTTATTTCTGGGTTTTTTGGGTTGTTTGGTTGGTTGTTTTGTTTGTTGGGTTGTGTTTTTTTTTGCATTTTGCCTCAAGCAAGTGAGGTAAGTGTAAAAGACTGGGGTGGGTTTTTTCATTTATTTGAAAAGGAAACTCTTCACTTTAAGTTTAGGTGTATAAAGAGAATGAAGTGAAGCAATTATCTTGTAAGAAGCCTGATTAACGTACTCTTCCAGAAGAGCAAATTTTCAGCATGACTGAATTTTTTCAAGAAAATTTAAAGTATGGATGATTATTTTAAACTTGCATAAATAAACACTGTTAAATCATTCTAAAAGAAAGAATTGCATTCTTCTGCTATATAGACACAATTTCCTAAATCTCTTGATACTTTATTAAAAATTAAAACCATGACACACTTTATTAACGTATCTTACCTAACAGCATCCGTATCAAATTGTAAATTGGGTTTATCAATCAATCCCAAAGAATAGAGCTGGTATGCCAAAGCACATTTTCCCACCATAAACTGGGCTGTGTTAGTGCGATCCAAACAGTCCACACAATTGGTTCGGAGAACTCCAGTCTGGTAAAGCAATCCCAATAAGAGAGTTTTCTTAAACAACTACTACACCTGTGATTATTACTTTTTTCCCCACTATTCTAAGACTTGTCAAATCTCAAATACTGAATTTTATGTCAGTTCACAAAAATTTGAGCAAAAACACTTTTAAAAAGTATCAAAAAGCAATTTATCTCTAGCAAGGCTGCTGTAAGGCCTACTTTCAAAATACTCTTGCTTCTATCATCACACAAACTGCATCTCTCCTTCAACTGAGAAACAGTCTGTCCTGGTTTCCGCTAAGACAGAATTAACTTTTCATAGTAGCTAGTGTGAGGCTATGTTTTGGATTTGTACTGAGGAGAAGGCTGATAAGAGACTGAGGTTTGTAGTTGCTGCCAGGACAGGCAAGGACTTTTCAGCGTCTCTGCTGGGCCAGTGTCTGCAGGTGCAGGAGAAGCTGGGAGGGAGCACAGCCCCAGTTACTAGCCTAGGATTCGACCTTAGGTTTAGGACTGAGACCTAGATTGGCCAATAGTCTATTCCATATCATGAATGTCATGCACAGTATATAGATGAGGCTCTGCCCTGAAGTTCTCTCTCTTGCTCCAGGTTGTCTCCCTCAGGGTCATCTTGGTCTTTCGGACACTTGGGCTTTTGTCTCTGCTCAAGGATTGCAGTTTCAGGACCCTTCGTGCTCCAGGATTGTTAGCTGGGAAAGGGCTGAGCTTTGGTCATAGGGTGGTGAGCAGTTTACTGTGTATCACTCATTTGTATATTTGTATATATTACTATTATTATTTCTCATTTTATTGTGGTTTAGTTATTAAATTGTTCTTATCTCAACCCGTAAGTCTCTTTTCCCTTTACTCCTCTAATTCTCTCCCCCATCCTTGGGAGGAGGCAAGGGGAAGAGTGAGCGAGCAGTGTTGTATAAACTACAACACAGCCCTAAAGATTTACCTTAAAAAGAAAGGCTGTGTTATTTCAGTCGAGGTCTTATTTTCAAATATGCTATAACTACTGCAAAAAATAAAGCACACTTTCAGCCTGCTGTTGTTCTACTGTGATGGTGCTTTTATTTTAAGCTTTCCATATCTGGAGCTACACACACGAACATTTTGTTGAAGGTGGCAGTCATGCACACATTACTTTATGCTGCTTGTACCACCGTTTTTAACAGACAAGTTAGCCAGATAAACTTTTATTATCTTAATAAAGAAGCACTTTTTGGGTGTGACCTACAAGTCTATTCCAAAACAAGTTGAACCATAATCCAAATGCTTACATAGTATGACTTTAGTGACTACCTCAAATGATTAAGTTGAAAGACAGATAAAATAATCATACCCCTAATACAGGTAAACCTATAAGACTAACATTAAAAAAAAATCTAACTAGCATTGATATGTTTTTTAAAATAGAACAAATTTTATCCACTCCCTTGATCATCTGCCCTCTACAAACCTATCCCAATGACCAGATAGTAAAGGAATGGTCACATACTTTCCAACTTATATGAACCACAAAATTATGAATGGCAAGTCAAAAGCAACTAATGCTTCTTAAGAATACACCCAGTGCTCGGAATATATAATCATAACATTCAGGTATAAATCTGTTACTCCACAGTTTAGTCAGCACTTTTTTGACTTTAAGAAAGCAGTGTTTCTAGTTCTTTTAGTGATGGAAATTATAACAACGTACAGAATATTCAGCAGTGGTGAAAATTATTTTAATAACCCATTTTTATGTGTTACGAGTATGTCATGAGACTTAAGTATGTTTACTCCTCACCTCTTCAATCTAACATTGTATTATGTAGTTTGTTAAAATGTTGCTGCTGTTAGCATTTAGTAATGTTAGCATTTACTACATTCCAAGTAGTAATGAAAACTGGTTTAAAATATGAGCATTTCTCAGACTACCTCCAGCAAAAATATAATTCCAACAGCATAAGCTTTTGTGGTACCAGACAAGAACTTCAAGCTCTATTTCCCAACTGGGTTTCTGGGATGGACTGCTATAATGCTTTTTACTACAAATATTAATTTAAGAGCAATCAGTGAATCATCAATTGGGTATTTCAGTGAAATGGTTCACTGGTGCTTTGGGAGTGATGGCATACATCACTATAACTATGAACATTAAAAGTATACTATTTTAGTACCTGCAAGCGTCCAGTGGAAACAACACAACCTCCCAGTTCATTCCACCTGAAAAAGACACAAACCAGAATGACTTACAAAATCATATTAAAAAAAATAGCAGATCATACCATGTATTGATCTTCTCTGTGAAAAAGGTGGCAATTAAAAACCTGCTACAAAACAAAATTGACATCCTTGAACAGCAGAAGGATTTGAAGGCTTGACATAGTAGTAACATTTTGTATTTAAACTGTATTGCAAAAAAAAAATCTAGCCTTAAAGCAGAAATATTCCAAAATTATAGAAAATATTTCCTTTCGTGTATGAGTGACATGAGCCTTGCTAGATTGGGTCCTGAGTGCACAAAAATTGCATTAGGTACAATGCCAGTGACTAGAAGGCAGAGGCACAACATATCCTTTAGCACAAACTAGTTGATTTAACTCCCCTTCATACTGATTCTAGGCATACATGCTATTTATCGTATAGGTCTTGCAGTTCTAAAGAGGCCCTAGTTGTATCCCAGAGGCAGAGAACATGAGTCAGAAATTAATGACATTTTGAGGTAGAGGAGCAGTTGTAGCCTCTAAACTACAGAAAATTTACAAGTTAGTAGGGTTATCTAGCCTGACTGGAGGACTGCCATGGCAAACCTATATACTACTTTTGAGACTCACTAGACTATCTCTACAGAACACAGCATTACATGGATGTATTGATCTTGTTCATGCTAGTTTACAGTCATCATGTTTGCTGCACTGCATGGCAAAGAAAATCTCCAAGAGAGCCCATGAGAGTTTTAGTTCAAACTATTTCTAAATGAAGTCAGGGTAAAGAGGAAAGGGTGCTCTTAAGGTGAAAAATGAATGCCCATTTGGGTAGTAACGAATTAGACGCCTAACATGAAAACTTGAATCAAAAACTTACTGAACTTCTAACTTGGAAGTTATTTTACTTCTGGATTTTCAGGGACTTGAGAGAATACAAATACAGCTTCTACTTTAAAAAAAAAGTTTTAAATTTTGTATGTATGAATACCATAAAACCCATTGGAAAACACTCAACTCAGTAACATTTCTATGAGAGGTATCTTATTAGTGTGCCTCAAAACAAGCCACTTATTAAATTCCAAATGTTGTTTGCTTTGTAAATTTAACCCCCAAATTCACAACTCCTTCGGTTAAAGTGAAAAAAAAAAAAGCTTTATCTAAACATACATGGCACAGATTACAAGTTACAAATAATGGTTTGAAGTAAGAATTCATTATAAGTAGAACATCAGCTCCATAATTACAGTCTCTATAGATTTTTCAGTGCATTAGTATTTCTTAGCTTGTGCCTCTAACTGCAATCCTTTTGGCTATAGCTTAATAACAAATTAAATTTTTTCATAGTAATTGAAGACTTAAAATATGAAATAATGTAACAGGTGTAGACATTCCAAACAACTCTTCAAGCAATAGATGTTACTCATTATGCATCAATTAAATTATACATACTTTTCATCTGGCCGCAAGATACTGCAGTAGGAATCAGGTCGATTTACAAAAAATCCAGTTTTCTTTACTACACTTTCTGCAATCACATTCAGTCTATCAAGGACATTACAAAGTTTGCTGAGGAGAGAAAAAAATACACACCCAACATATATTAATGTTAAAAAAATACTGCTTGGAAAGTCTTTTAAAACCAAAAATTATTTAAAGGAAGACTCACATCACAGCTTTATTTACCTAACAGAAATTATTTCATAGTTTTCTTAGATTTTACAGACTTGAAAAACAGACACTGATGGTATCTGAGCAATTTTGTTTACTTATTAATAAACATATTACATAAACTAGAAGTGGAAGACTTTAAAAATCTAAAACTCCTTGACTTTCATATTACACTAATTTTCCTCTAAGAAACTTTCTATGATTCAGAAAAAAACAAATGAGGCAGAAAAGGGTTATTATGATTATGCTAAATCATATTCCTCCATTTTGCTTGCAAGGTGCTGTTTTGTTTAGTAACATTTGTTTCTGTGTGTGGCCTTCACGATGTCCTTCACCTCCTGCTCAGGTCAGGGTATGCATCCATTCACTGTTGGGGACATTAGCTTCTGTTTACTCATAATTTTATTTTCAAAATCTTTATTACAGTGCTTGCATTTCAAGTAACAAAAACAATGATTTATTTTTTAAAGATTGCTTACACCAAAATGGAAGCAATATTTTGCAACATTTCCACCGGTACTACTTTCCAGCAAACTTACTTTAGCTACATGTTGAAGCAAAAACATTCTCAGTTTCATTCCTGAAACTGTCAATTCTTTAGGCAGGCAAATACACTATCTTCCATTCTTAAACACCTCTTGCTTGCATAAAGAATTAATCTTGTTCAAGCCCTCAGGTATTTTTTATATCTATACTAGGGTAGATACGTAAATAAATATACACCCGGCTTAAAGCTGGAAGGGAATTCTTTGATCACCTACTATCATTTCTCATATAGGATAGGCCATTAAGCTTCACCAGCATCAGTTCATATGAAACCCAAGAACTTGCATCTAGCATACCCTCTGAAAGGAAACCTAGCCTTATTTTGAGATTTGCTATTTCATCATAACCTAAACAATTGAATACACCTAACTGTACACAATGCCATTTCAGAATAAAAATGTAGTGTGAAACCACATCAAGCTTTAACACACCTACACAACCAACCATAGCAACCAACCTGTAATCTCAAATAATGAATAAAGACTGTTTTCGAAAGCTTTTTTCATACCATTTTATCAACAAATATTAATTACATTCCTGCCCTTTGAACTATACCAGTTTTTCCATTGTTTTGCTCAGACTGACGTAGTAACAGATACCTGAAAGCTGAGCCAACAACTCTTGCATTTCTTCTAGAATTTCTTGTCATTATAAGATATGTGAGACATATGCAGGCCAGAGAACTTTACAACTGAGTTGTGTGTTACTTAAGAATAGCAATCCACGCCTATAGATTTAGAAAGCTTTTTCTTTGTAAATATTTACACATTTAGGAAAACATTTATCCTTTGTACATTATACTAGTACAGCATTCTATTATCCAAAATTATAGAATCAGAAGTTACCAAATATATTTGCCTTTCTAGGACAAATGCTTCTAATAACTGAAATGTTTTATAACATTGAAATTGATGTCCTCATTTCCTTTTGGAAGAAGAAGTGGAAAAGACCGATTGATATGAAACCCCTTCTTTTCCAAAATTTTGTAACTCAATAAATTCAATGACTGAAATGGAACACCTAACAAAATGCAGTGTTTTGACAAATCCAAAATAAAAAGTGAATGTTAATAGCTTTTTTGTGGCTTTTCTCTAAAATTTTCCTTTGCAGAGAACTTCAGAGTTTTCAAGCTTTACTCCACTTCGGTAAGAAACCATAGAAAACATTAAAAATCCTTCAAAAAGCTGAGGTTTTATGCTGTCCATAGATCTTAACAAAATTCTCCCACCATTCCTAAGCAACATACAACTAAAAAGAGAGACACTCAGTAGCATACAGATATTTGCTTTGTGGCTAAGAGCGCTAGTACAAAGAAGGACATTTTCTACCTTTTTGTGTATTTGGCCATATCCCAGGGTATATATATAATCGCATGCTCTGGGGGTAAAAACTGGTTGAGATATCTCACAGCAGCAACAAGTTCTTCACTAAGAATCCTTTCATGCTTTCTTTTTTCACGTTCCTTTAGCAAGAAGAAAAGGAAATTAACACTACAATTTTTATTAACAAATGTATATAACCTGTATGCATATACATGTATGTATATGTAACAGAAATTAAAGTGAAAGCTGTAACAACAGCAGGCAGTTCTTCATAATTAGTCAAACTGAATTAAGAAGAGACAGAAAAATCTAAATGTTCTGCGTTTTTAACAATTGATCTGCACTAGTAGTAAAAGTCACCCATCTCAAATGTGGATAATCGTTGGCTGAAAAATGGAACCCTGTAAGAGCAAAAAAGAGCACAGAAAACAAAAGTGGTAATATGGACAAAATGGACAAAGAAAAAAAAAATAAGGAAAAAGACAGGTGAAAGGAAAGTATCCCACTGAATTCTGGGGTACAAGAGTACCCACGCAAATTCTTCTCTATTACTGACAGAAGATGGGGAACAACAGCACCCATCTCCCAGCCTTGCAATAATTTCAAAAAATTAGAATTATCTAGCTGTTCTCTGAACACATATGTTTTGGCACTCTATACATTAGTATAGCTTTCCTCTCAACTTCATCCAAACTAAAACCTATACTAAACTTATGTTATAGAAACTGCTTTAATTAGATAATAGCAGTCATAAATAAGCAAAGCCAAAGGAAGCCTAATACCTTCATTGCTAGTTAACAAGTTTCTAGGAGAGACAGATGGAGGACATAGATTTATGTTTTATCAACATTTAAGAAATCAAACAATAAAGTTACTGGAAACAGAAACACTTCGAATTTGTGTAAAAGCAATGGCAACATCCAAAAAAGGTGTTCAGGTTTGGGGGCTTTCCCCCCCCCACTTTTTTTTTTTTTTTTTTAAGTGGCAAGTAAAGTAAGAAAGGAACATGAATTTTAGCATCTTAAGATTGAGCATCGACAGAGAGGGAAAGAAAGAGATGCATTTTCAGCCACTGTATCAAAAGCCCTGTGAATAAAAGCATATAATGATTCATGTGTCAAGGTTATAGACTCACACTGCAACAATGGCTTTTGAAAGCTATAGCTGCAAGAGATAAAAACATTTTATTGTCAACAAACGCTACCCTAAGTTGATTCCACAGACTCTTGGACAGTGTTAAAAGCACTCCTACAAAGGAAAGCTTTGAGAAACAGAAAATAGTTGCCATTTATTACAACTTAAGAGTTTTTAAAGCCTTCCGTTTGTATTTTCCCTATTTTTTTATACTAGGAATGGATCCTACTTGCATATAAAAGATCCTTTTTTCTACTGAATACATTTCTACAATATGATGAACTGATTTTTTTTTTAAGACTAAAAAGAAATAAGATATGATTCAAGGAAAACAAAGCAATATATTAAACTCAAATGTGGAAACAGACACCACTACAGAAAATGACTGGATCAGAGCAGAAAAAAAAACCCAAAACAAAAAACACCCCAACACAAATACAAGATGTAATAACTGAAATCCAAAATTACAGTGCTACCCAGAATCCAGACTTCATACCACAGCCTCTCACACAGCGTTTAACTGAATTACTCCAGCAACCATGAAGATCCCCTCATTAGTCCAGCCCTGCTGCTACTGGCACTGCCTGTTAGCTAGCACCAGATGCTTCAGTTTTCTCTCCTGCTCGTACTTCCATGACTCTACCAAATGGAGCACACAACACAAGTCTATCATAATACTTCAACTAACTCAGTCATCTGTGTCAGGAAGCCTGCAAACCTCACGTTCCATGGAAACATACTATTTTAGTACTTTTTAGTGCTATATTAAATTTAGTGGTAAATTTATTTGGACTTCCAACAGTGAAAGGTTACTGTAAGAAGTCTAGAAACATTGGGAAACTTCTTTCTTTTGAAGAGTGGTAGTGGAAGCAGTTACAGAGTTATGTACTATATCATGTAGGATGATTTATGAAGAAAATATTCCATTTATAAGCTAATATTAGTTTAGAACACAATCAAAATTACACAGAGACTCTATAGAAACAAACATATTATTAAAAATTAGAAAACATATAGAACATATTCAAAATATTGTACCTTCACAAGATTCAAAATAATAATGGGAGAGCCAAATCTCTGAAGCATTTGGTCAAAGTGAAGAGCAGCAACATGTGCAAAAGGATCTGCTTGGTCCACTGCAACACATACATACATTCAGGGTGATATTGTGAGCTGTAGAGTCACTGAAATAATTTTCCCTCAAAAGTACTCTTCACAACACACATACTAGTTCTCTGATAGTAATGATACAGTTACATACTTTCTCCTCTTCTCATGCAAAAGCTGTTAAAAAAAAAATCTTCCCTTTCCCAAATAGGAAGCTACTTCTCAATCAAAACTTTCATGAGATGCTTACAAAAAGCAATTATTCTGGCCCCATTAAACTTAGCCCAGCCATTTTCGACCACTTTCAAAAGGTTCAAAATTTTATCCAAAATACTAAGATAAATGTAGCTAACTTTGTATACAAAATAAGCACAAAGATAGTTGTCATCTTCAAACAGAAGTTCTTTGCATTCCATTTCTGAATGTGAAGTCTAAGACAGAGATTTTTTTCTATTCATCAGATGCAGCTTTTTATACGATTGAATGTTTGTATGCCATGATATTTAGTTATAAGAACATTGATTTACCTTAACTTATGGCTTCCCAAAGAACAAATGCATAGACAATTTGTTCATTTTTGCAAATTTAGTTTTCACTTACTCTCTCAGGTGTTCCTTTAAGACACAGTGCTAACCATAATCTATCACAAAGAATAATTTGTACATACACGTTATGGGTGGCTTAGGCATCATAGTTGAAATATCTTGAGACCAGTACAGAGGGACAGATCCTCGAACCTGAACATAGGAAGAATAACTCCCCGCAGAAAATGACATAACTGAAGCATCATAAAGTATTTGTTCAGTTTCCACTTCATTAGCAACATCTCCCTAAACCAAACAGAAATAAACATATGAGGTAGACATGACACTTCAGAGCTGCATGCATGATAGAGAACTGATCATTACAAACAGGGTACAACTAAACTGTAAGACATGAAAACATAGTAGTGAGAACACCACTGAAAGGTTAAATTCTCATTTGTCTCTAAATGCATATTATCACTTGGTTTTTTCCCCTCACTATTTGGGAAACAACATTATCTCTAAATGTAAAAAAACCAACCAAGCAAACAAACAAAAAAAAAGACCAGTACAGAGGGACAGATCCTCGAACCTGAACATAGGAAGAATAACTCCCCGCAGAAAATGACATAACTGAAGCATCATAAAGTATTTGTTCAGTTTCCACTTCATTAGCAACATCTCCCTAAACCAAACAGAAATAAACATATGAGGTAGACATGACACTTCAGAGCTGCATGCATGATAGAGAACTGATCATTACAAACAGGGTACAACTAAACTGTAAGACATGAAAACATAGTAGTGAGAACACCACTGAAAGGTTAAATTCTCATTTGTCTCTAAATGCATATTATCACTTGGTTTTTTCCCCTCACTATTTGGGAAACAACATTATCTCTAAATGTAAAAAAACCAACCAAACAAACAAACAAAAAAAAACCCCAAAACTGCTGGTGAACATTATTTTAAGAACAGCTTTATTATTTCAACTAAAAATGTAATGATAGCTATGATAACATCTAATAGCATAATTTACAGCCAAAACCCTACAACCCCCTAAAACATTTCAGTTCTCCAGTCAGTCAAGCTCAAGCTTTCATATGTTGGGGAGCAGAGGGGAACCCCTAAAATAATTTTTAATGTACCTCGCAGTTTGATCCTCGTTTCAGAAAACGTGTTCCAGCAAATTTGCTTGATCTTCTGGCTATCAGAGTGACATATATAGGGCGCCCATATATTAACAGTTCTTGAAACAGAAGTTAAGGTTTACATGTCACATGCAATTTTTTGCTCATTTACTTCATGCAAGCAAAAACAAATTCCAGAAAAGGTGTATGAAATTGAAATATCTGATTTACTAAAATCTCCTTAACAGTGATGAATATCACTTCCAAATTTGTTTTACAGCTGGGAAAGAGCATTGCCCTTTTCAACAATCATTTTTAAGAACTTTTAAAAGGGAATCTACAATACAATATATCAACCACTTTTCACAACATACAAATGGAAGCATTTCTGTTTTATGAAGGTGAAATAGGTACAAGATTGACCTTGGGCTGCAAATACTGCTTTTGTGAATACTGTGATTAAAACCTGGAAGCTTTTATTTTCAGATCAGGTATACTAGTCACCCTCTAAGTATTTGTCTGGAAAAGTGGATAAATTTGCAACTACCTAAGCAGCAACAACTGAAAGCCAAAGGCAAACAGCTACAGACACAATGGTGGCTTTCTTTTAGGCTTTTTATTTTTTATCAAAACCAAAAATAAGTTAGAATCAGATGTTTAGCATGACTATCACTGCTTCCTTAGAGCAATGGAGGCACAAGAAAGAGGGAAGACTACATTGGCTCATCAAATACCCACAGCAAAGACTATTGTCACTCACTAAGCATCTACAGGCATAATGCTGGTTGTCAGATCCACAGCTACTACTTTAAATAAGAACACAGATGAAATAGTGCTATATGAAACCAGATCTAGCCTTCTGTCTGGGAATCAGCAGCCTTAGAATGATGAAAAAAGCAAAATCAAATTTTGCAAAGACACCACTAACCTTAACTTCATAAGTGTATTTGTTTCCCCAGATATTTTGCTGACAGGCTTTTAAACTACCATGATACTGTTGATGATTAAATCAGTGTGTCTCTGTAATATACTAAATTCTTATCAACTAAGATGCTGAGATGGCATTTCTTAGGAGTGTAATATGCATTTGGGCTTTTTCTCCTCCTACTACAATGTATATAGAGCCATTTACCCATTTTAAATAATATATAGTCATGAAAAAAGATTTTCATATGTACTCGTGTTTATTTAACTCTCTTCACACAGCAGGTCTGAAGCTCTATCATCACCTTCAACAGAAACAGAGTAAATACAAGGCTTCCTGCAAATCTCAGTTACTAAAAAAATGTTTTAGAGAAGATTAGTAAGAGAATATTTCTATGTCAGGAATTCAGTTCTGTTTAGCTTTTCTCCCCTTCCTCAAATACCTGTGAAAAAAATGCAGCTGAGCCTTAAAATCCTCTCAAGTTCTTTATTACTAAACCCCATGCTTACAAACAGTTCCTCACTGAGAACACAGTCTACCTGTGTCAGGGCCCTGTTATAAGAATATAGAATCACAGAATCATGCAATGGTTTGGGTTGGAAGGGACCTTAAAGATCATCAAGTTCCAACCCCCCTGCCATGGGCAGGGACACCCTCCACTAGCCCAGGTTGCTCAAAGCCTCATCCAGCCTGGCCTTGAACACCTCCAGGGATGGGGCATCCACAGCGTCTCTGGGCAACCCGGGACAGTGCCTCACCACCCTCATCGTGAAAAATTTCTTCCTAATGTCTAGTCTAAATCTGCCCTCTTTCAGCTTATACCCGTTACCCCTTGTCCTCTCACTACGCTCCCTGATAAAGAGTGCCTCCCCATCTCTCCTGTAGCCCCCTTCAGGTACTGGAAGGCTGCTATTAAGTCTCCTCGGAGCCTTCTCTTCTCCAGGCTGAACAACCCCAATTCTTTCAGCCTGTCCTCAAAGGGGAGGTGCTCCAGCCCTCTGACCAATTTCGTGGCTCTCCTCTGGACTCTCTCCAACAGGTCCAGGTCTTTTCTATGTTGGGGGCCCCACATCTGAACACAGTACTCCAGGTGGGGTCTCACAAGAGCAGAGTAGAGGGGGAGAATCACCTCCTTCAACCTGCTGCTAATGCTTCTTTTGATGCAGCCCAGGACACGGTTGGCTTTCTGGGCTGTGAGTGCACGTTGCCGGTGCATGTTGAGCTTCTCATCAACCAGCACCCCCAAGTCCTTTTCCTCAGGGCTATTACTTATTTAGCATAAAACCCAGACAAGTAAAGAAAATAAAAGACAACCAATAATTCTAAAATTGAAAAGTATTTACATGACAAAGAAATAATTCAGTGTATTTCACATGTTCAAACCTTAAAAAAAATAGATAAACCAACATTGATTACAATAGTAAAGGATACTTGATTGCCCACAGAATCCATGAATAATATACAGTAGCCAGTCACGATGAACAGTATTTTTTACAACCTCCAGAAGTTTGCCATTCCACACATACTTCTCATAAGGCTTACTGCAAATCCCAAATACACCTAGGAAGTTGTTACAATGAAAATGCATTAGCAATTAAGAAACAAGCTTACCTGCATTGGACTGTTTTAAAACCCAGGTCATTGGACCTTTATTTTGATTTTCTCTTGAGTGCAACTCAGTATATCATTTACTCATATCCTTGAATATAACTTCAAGCACATGCTGAAGGTCAGGATTTATGAGGATTTACAATTTTTCTATGGTTGCCAGTCACTGTATTTGAGTGCCTTCATGCAGAAGTTTCTGATAGTTCCAGCACTGAAGTAGCTCTGCATGGTAGCAGCAGAGGATTTGATACTAAGGGAAGTAAATCAGGTTGTGAATTCCAGTTAACGCAAAAATACTCTCATAGGATGACATCATAAGCTTTTCAGTTCTGGGCCAGCTCTGGAGTTACCTATTTATTAGGCTTTGGAAGATTATGCATAGCCCTGGCTCCCTTTAAAAAAAGCAAGTCAATCCCCTTCCCACATAATTTAGCGTGGTTTTCCTAACTTGCACTGACACCAAGAAATGAAGCTATTGTAGACCTGCAAATTAAAATTCAATTCCTGATATATCTAAAACTTGAGTCTTTTTCTGTTTCAAAAATCAGGACCAAGGTGGCAACTGGGTGGTGAAAGAAACTGAATGAGTCTGAATTTTAAACAGAAGGAATAAGAAGAACTCTATTACCTACATTTTTTGTGTATTTTTTTCAAATGAAGTTTCTGGCAGGATGAGTTACATCGTAGCAGTATGTATGGCAATTATAGCAGCCAAATGTTCTGCTGAGGGAAAAAGATGAGTTCTCCTAACAGACTGAAGGTGAAAATGCAGCTGTTGAACAAACTGGCTATCTAGTCACCCAACTTACCATAAGCCCAGGGAAAATTCATGTAACCAGTCTGATGAAGGAGCGTATACATTCATTTCTAGCAGCATTACTTCAGTGACAATTTGTTCCTGAACGACAGGCGGCTATTTCTTATGCATATTCTGTCATACAAACAGATATGTTACTAATATCTACTGGAAATGGAGTTGTGTGTACTATCAGCATACTGCTGATGGGGTCACGGTTATGGCATCTCCATCTCCCAATGTTTTCACAAAGACATAGGAGAAATTACGCCATTGCATGGATTCCTGAGGGATCTCGCAGATAGGAGCCTTTGCAGAGGAGGAATTATTGCTCCCTCCACTCTTTACGGTCATTTCTATCATTGTAGTATTTGACAACTTGTTCTTGATATCCTGATCTATACGACCACATTACTAATATCTTTTTCTTGGCAGGCGAGTGGGATCGCTTTTCTTTAAAAGGAAATACATTATTTGATTATCTTTTAATTTTTCCATCAGATTTAGAGCATACTGTATACAACATTACTTTTAGGCTTTTAAATGACAATATGAAAGATGTTTATAACTATTAAACATAGTAAGTTCTAGTCCCAAAGATGGTTACTCTACCTATCATTCATTACCATTCTTTGAGTCGTAGTCAGTGTAGGTCTGTTCTAGGTGTTGTGATGAAAGGGCATCAAAAACAAAAGGGTGGACAGTGTCCCAGTTTATCTCGCATAAATTTGGGTCAGGGGTTGTTTCAGTAGTTTCTGTATTTTAACTATGTGCTTGTCAGACCTTCAGAGGCCCCTTTGGAGGAGGCACAGAAAGCAGGACAAATACATTCCTTCTTCAGTGTCTCAAAAGATTCATTGTGGGTTAGAAGAGATGGAAGACTAGTCATGCAATTCATACTACCTCAAAGAACCAAAGTTACTTTAGGACAAGTGGGATTTTTCTATTGTATTTCTCTGTATATTACATTTTCTGTACAGAGGTTACACAGCATGGTGACCACCAATAAGGATGGTAATGCAGACACGCTGTTGAGCTTCTTTATAACCAACATGAGTGCAGATCCAGATGTTGCATATAAGCTGTCTTCCATATCAAGTTCATAGAGTTAAGTAAAATAAGTAACAGACTTCCTCTATCCTATTGTTTTGCTTATCAGTGATGTATTTAAAAGGCATGGTGTTCTGTTACTACCTAAGAAGGCTAGTTGAACCTCCACAGTTGTTTCAGACCACTTCCAGGGCAATGTATTCACCATAAATCAAAGGCAGCACTGCTATTTCTGATATTTCACAACTTTAAAAAAAAAGTGGTGCCATATATACAGTAACAAAATTTTTTAAAAAATCTATAACGTAATTTTTTTTACAAGTGTTCAGATAATTAGTACAAGTCACAGGGCAATAAAACATAAAAAACTGTTAACTTCAATAGAATTAAATCCAATATTAAGAACTGCAGGGGAAGCTTTTTTGTGGGGGGTATCTGTGTGCATGAAGCAAAAAGGAAAGTAGTTTTACTGTCTGGCTGGTCATCTTTACACTCTTATGAATTTGTTGGATCCAAAAAGGAGGCTGGATAGTTTTCAACTGAAATCAGTAATTTTTCTTAGACTTCCTGATAGTGCTTATTACCTCACGTTGGTCCTAACTTCATACAATTCCTCTGTCGTCAATATTTTCCAACATGAAACAAAAAAGATTTACTAGTACTTCATCAGTTATTGCTTCCCACTCTCTTTGTAATTCATTCCTATTGGGACTCTTACAAGTCAGCCAAATAATCAATTTCTGAAAAATGTTAGCATGCTCAATTATCTCCCTGAGTTGCAATGTAAATTAACAGAACAATGATTAATCACCTCTGGAAACTGCATTGTTCAAATTCAAATGTCTGTAATCGGCACTTTATGTAATCTTTTATTAACTCATGACTGTTATGAGACTACTGATCAATACAGAAGACCCAAATGCTTCTCAAAAGTAAACTTGCATGGAATATATTCTAAATGTATTCACAACCAACAACATCAGCTTAATTAGGCATATTGCTTACCACTTCCACCCTGTGTTGACAGTCCTTCATCTTCAAATATATCAAAACTCTCTTGTCGGGTCTGCGTTGTTTCAGTTTTTAATGTCTCAAGTGGCATTCTCAGGACAGTAAGATTATACTGAAGGGAGTGAGATAGATCATAGCTGTAACTGACAGACAGTTAACATTTATTAATAATTGTAGATGTACAGGACTTTTCTGAAAGCCCTTACTCTCCATCTGTACTTATATTTAACACAGTACTATTTTATTCATTAAAAAAAAAGACTTTTTAAAAGATACACAGATTCTGATTCTATAATGGCAAATGATACAAACAATTTCCAAATGGCTTGCAAACACAGAAACTGTTTAAGGTACAATAGCTGAAACTGGATTTATATTCTTTTGATAACTGAAAACTGAACATGCCTTTTGAATAAAGCATATCAACAAACTCAATTCACTATGTCCCAAGAAGTAGTCCTGAAGATCAAAAATGGCTATTCTACCAGAAATATCCATATACATGGACAACCCAATTTTTCTGAGATTGAAGTACTACTCTCTAACTACTACCTGAACTCAAAACCCAACAATTTGGTCCACAAAAATTGTATCTGTCCTCAAATTTGGGATTGCAGCACAGATGCAGCTGAAGACAGTGGCTGCTGAATAAACAAAAGGTGTTTTTTATTAGTTCCATTAGAGTAACAGATTCTGCATCTCATGTATTTTATACCAACAACACTCTACACTAATTGCTAAATTTTATAAGCCACTAGGATTCATTTCCCCACGGAGAAATCAAACTTACACACTCGAATCAGAAATACAAACAGATTTCCATTTTAGTCTAAGACAGCATCAGTGACTATTGGCCCTCCTGTAAGGTCTAGATATACATTAATGATCTAAAAAAATATTTAAACAGTGAACATTCAGATTTATCCCTAATGATAACAAAGTCTAACCCATGTATTCACCACATTTCCATAACGACCTGACGTGCTCATCTGTTAGGGGGAAAAAGAAAAGTCTGTTACATGCTCAGTTTGCACATAACAAAACCATTAAATAGTGTCCCAGCAAAGGATTTGTTCAGGCTATATCTCCATTTTCCCCTTAGACCAAATGTTTTCTTATAACTAGCTTGTAATTCTGTTCAGGACTTACATGAAAACCATGCAGAAAACATGCTATGATTTCAGCCAAGAAAAATTTAAATTAATCTGAGAAATGGGTTTATCAGAGAGTTGTATTAAGAACCTTCTCCTCTCCCCTCTAGGCACAACCACAGAAACAGTGTATCTTCACCATCTCCAAGCAGGAAAAGAAACAAACAAACAAACAAAGTAGTACAATGTTATGGTTGGGAGACAAAGCATCGAAGAAAAATTCTGTGAAAAAGCCTTCCCATGCAAAACCACAAAACAGACATGAAACTTTGGTAGATTTTGTCTTCACAGATAGAGTTGTGACAAAAAGCCTTTATTTTCCAAGAGGGAGTATCTTCTAGACTGATACACCTCTTGGTACTTGCAAGAGGTTTTTTTTTGTTTAGTTTAAGTCTTAAAGTCTTCTAACTACTACCGCCAGGTTTATCACCACATTTCCCCCATTTTTCTGCTGTCCCAAAAATTCTTGTGTAATAGTAACTAGGACACAGAAACTTGTCTTAGGTATGGCATTTATGAAACAATAAACAAGAGAATTGGTAATGCCTAGAAGGCCCTTTGAAAGATGTAACCTACGTGCCTACAGACGAGGACCTATTTCTCTATATTTGCTTCTGAACCAAGGCAAAGCTTTATTTCTGGAAAATGAGATAAAAAAAGAAAAACTGAGAGGACAAGCAAACCCCTGAAATACCATACTTTTCCAAAGAGAGATTTTCTGCATAATCTGCTAAGGCTGAACAGTCAATGGAAACAGTTTCAGTGTCTACCTTCTACCATGCCACTAATAGTTCTACAGTTTTCAGCTTCATGGAGACTACATTCCTAATCAATCTGTTGAAGGAGAAAGCAGGTTCAAAAGACACAGAGAAAAATGGACAAGCAATGTGATCACGTGTCTTATTTCTCCAGAATACCAGCCTAAAGAACATGGGTATCAAAGTCCAAAAGCAGAATCTTATAGCAAGTGCAAGCATACAATTTTTAAAAGCAATTAGTAACTAATACCTACCTAAAATAGAAGTTGCTAGAAAGGTCCACATTTTGAAAGATCCTCAGATACCTAGCAAAATAATTCAAGTTAAAGGGAAAATTATTAGTTTAACCAGACAAACACCAAAAAGTCATTCAGAGGATCTCAGAAATTAAACTACATATAAATATTGACTCTTGCCATATGTTCCCTTCCTATCTTGCTGTAATTATTTTGATAGGTGATTCTACTAGAATGTCAGCGTCTGGATTAAATAAATCAAATAGCCATTTCTTTGTTTTAATCCAGTGTCTACTAATGTACATACTCTGTTTCTTTATGAAGTTATAGATAAAGCTGTAGTTCTGTGTTCCACATATGTGGGTTAAATTCTCTAGGACTTACACAAGCAAACTCCCAACAATACTATACAAGAATTAAAGATTTTCAGTTATTCTCAAATAAATGAACAAGAAAAGAAGCATCTACTTCAACCTTAACATTGTCTATGAATTATAAAATGGCTAACACCATAAATACATAGTTTAGATAATATGGTCTGTTGCATTCTAAGAGGGGAGACAGAGATCAGTCATACCTTAAAGTGGAAACTTTTATAATAGTTACCATCGTCTTGATTTATTATCTGACATCAGTTTATCATAATCCATCACTTTTTGACTATTCACACTTGGTACAGATTGAAAGCAGTTTATATCTACTATTTGCCTGGTATTTCATAGAAGTAAAGTTACCCCACGCTGACAAAACCATCACCAGGACATAGTTGTACATTTCATACAAGTTTCCTTGCTGATCAAAGGCTCAGATTTCTTTCTTCAGAAAAAAAGTCACAGAAAGGAAAAAAAGAAGATAAACTTACCAGTTTATCACCTTTTACAACAACATTCACAAGATCTGGCAGCACAGAATCATTAAATAATCTACTCAGTATTTTTTGAAGGGCATATAAGGTCTCTTCAGGTGAGATCAACATGATGTTAGAGCTACTAACAAAAGAAAAGCACCTCAAACAATACAAACCAGTACTAGCATTACTTTGCCCCTGTAAGAACAATGTATATATTAGACACTTCCTGGTGCACATTTGCTAGGATGTAGCTTTGACATGTAGGTGACATGGAGATGGGGACAAAAAGCTCTGAAAGACTGTAACAGTTGTATTTACCCTCCAGGTTAGAAGACACAGAACTTGTGGCTCATTTTCCATTCTTCCACACTAATTTATCAGCTAAGACAAAATGTCTTGAATGACATACTAACAGAAGGAAACCCATGACTTAAATTTCTAGATGCAGTTCACCATTGCCTAGAAAATATTCAAAAAGTACACACTGTTTACCAACATTATTTACCTGGCTTCATCAGGATGAGTGACTCTAACAGAATCATTTGGAATGTAGATCATATTTGTATCTTCTATTTTATATATTGCATGACCTCCAATATCTGCCATTTTTCTTCTTTTTGTTATTAATACAATGTAGTAACCTTCTAAAAACCTGACAAAACCTGTTAAAATGCAGTAAAGTACTATTAGTTGGACGTTTGCAATTATTTAATCAAACATATTTAGAAAAACAGTATGCAAATTGTTTCAAGACTTCATAGAATTTTTATTTGTTCTTTATGTTATACACATCACGTGCATATATATGCACATGCAAAATTATATACATATATATACATAGACACAGAGTCTTACAATTCACCCCCAGTATGTACTAATCAATGAAGTACACAGTTTTTACCTTTTTTCCCTTCCACTGTGCATATTTCTAATATTAGGTAGCAGAGTTAAGACACCAAAAATTCAGAATAAGTTGCTGTCTACTTAACATACTTGTATTTGCTCTTTATAGGACCCTCATTGTTCAGAGCAAGGCATACACCCTAGCTACTTTAGATACCAAAACACTAATTTTCCAGGGCAAGGAGGTATCCCAATCTTCAATTTTCTTTTCAGGTTTATGTATTCTCTACTGGGAAGAGGCACAAAACAGCAAAAGAAGGGTACTACGGCACCTTCATGGTTTCTCTCCTTAACAGCAGGGAATTAAATTCCCTGTCTATAGCAGCATCTCCCCCAAATTAGCCATTCAGAGTATCAGGGGTAATCCTTTCTTTCTATTTCCTCTCTCAGATACCAACACTTGACCCTACTGAAGTCCAAAGGGCTTAAGGAAGCAGAACAGGCAGAGTCTGGCTTCACTGACTACAGAAAGAAGGCATCTGAAGCCTCCACCCTTGTTCCCTAATGCTACAGGGCATAGCCACGCTTCTTCACCAAGTTGCTTCTTTGGATGTCTCTATTACATATCATTAGGAAAAAGCATAACAAACCTTTAAATACCATGTAAATGTATAAATTCCAATTAAAAACAGAACTACGTAACCACCCCTGAACTCAAATTTTTATCTAATACAGTATATGCAGTGATACAGCAGTACTAAGTTTTAATCGAATAAATTACATGAATTAGCTCTTGGAGGTGGCTGCTTTAATGGGCTGCTACTAATAAAAAGCCCGAAACTCAGTCACTGCTGCACTGTCAACAAATATATCCATTAGAGGGAAAAAAACCCCTTGCAATTCCGATTTTTACTTATATTTATATTAAGTTCTTTTATCTTTACATTATAAATTAAAGAAGAAGGATAAGCAAAGCACATATTTTCCTCCCTGTCACTGCTGGAGGCTGCAATGTGATCGAATGAACCGCAATATTTTCTTCTCCCTTATTAGCCCCCCTCGGAAAAATGCTCTCACCTGCACAAGGACAGGAGACCCTGCTGACAATAAGAAACAGTGTCCATTTGAAGCAGTCAGACTATCGACTTTCAGTTGTTACATAGCAATCAAAGTTCTTCCTGTATCCTCCAGGTACTTACATGAACAGCCTCTATCCTCTGAATTTCACCAAATGTTATACCAAAGTCTGATAAGGAACCCAGACGTTCCCCTCAGCCTGGTTCTCTCCATTTAAACGTGATTTCTACTTTAAAGACTATATAGTGAACCAGAACTCAGCCTATCAGCACCCCCATTCTGAGTGCACCAAGTGTGCTGCCTCTGGTTAATGAAATAACCAAAGAACAGAACAAAGCTGTCCTTTCCAAATCTACAAAAAACAGCACTGTCCTCCTGACCTGAGCCAGGAGGCACAAATAAACAACCAGTTGCATTCCCTCAAATTACATGTGTTTATACAGATATGATTAGATAGGATCAAGATGGAAGGTGTCTAAAGCATATACTTTAAAAGTGCAAGATAATCTGAAGATCACTAAAACCACATGTAAATTCTAAAAAAATAATCTAGAAACAGTACACCATATCTGCTAACCAATATAATTGTCCAGCTACAGAATAGAAACTCTCTTGTTATGAAGGCTGCATATTTACAAACATACAATTGGGATGCAAAATTTTCAACAAACACAACCACTTTCCAATCGAACATAGTACCACATGTTTAGACAGTGAGCACTGATGGCTTGTGCAAAAAAAGCCAATGCTGCAAGACTGTTAGAAGCTTCTTTAGGTTTACCCATATTATTAATACTCTTAAATTCATAAGGAACATAAACCTCATAGGAGGAATTTCTGAAAAGTGGATTCATTGGTAAGTTCCAAAATGCTTCACGGGCAAAAAGAACATAAAAGAAAGTTTGCTTAATCTGCCACTTTAGATTAGAAAGACCACTAATAATATTTCATGCAAAATTCAGGAGCATCTTTAAAAGTAATCGCATTCTCCACCTCCTCTGCAGCTTTGGATTTAGATGTCCAGGTATATATTGATGCAAACAAAGCACAAAGTATTCCTGGGGCTGTCAGAGCAGACATTCACATTTACTTTGGAGACATCACGCATCAATATATTGACCTCAGTATCTGACAATAGGCAGGAAAGCAGTGACTTTCAGATGAAGTTAGAAGCTATTGAATCCTTGAAGCAATTCTCTAGGACTGTGGACAGATGATCAGCATTTAAAAATTCAGCAGACATATTAATCAGTTATACTTGTTCAAACATGAAAAATAAATCTTTAAATATGTCGCAGGAAAATGTTAACCAAAAAGAAAATGAAGTCATCTTTCTGAACAGTGTCTGATGAAGAAATACAACTTAACAAAGGATGTCAACTTTTATTTTCTTTTAAAAAAGTATTCTGTGAGTTCTGGAATTCAGGAGGACAGGTTCCATGTGATTTGTACCCTACAATCAGTTGAGTTTGGTGAGATCTTCAACCAAGCTTCTGGAGTTTGGCTGTTTCCTAGATCTCTCTCCCTTACTGACAAAGAAGAGACTAGTTGCAGCACAACTCTCACCTCATACTGGCCACCTGTTTTCACAAAATACATAGAAACTTATTTATCTTTGAGAATTAAATTACTCAATCCTCTTCAGTTTAAAAAAAATAAATCAAGGGGAGACAGAAAGATTTATAGCACAACACAGTAAGCCTCAGCTCCTCAAGAAAGAAAAGATTTTATAAAACCAAACAGAACACTTACCTACTACGCCAAAAGCAGAGACAGCTCGAGATAACCCAGAGGAGCCCTTCTGTGCAATCTTTGTTCTGTTTCCCAGGTCCAAACGGCCAAGAAGTTCCCTCACCTCTTGTTGCGTATACACATGCTTTAAAATAAAAAGTCACTTAGGTTACTGCTTTGGCAGTTAAATCTTACTACATGTCAGAGGACAGTAGAATTTACTTAATATACAATAAACCAAATGTCTGCTCTACATCATCTGTCTCCTGTTTCAGTCCAACCAACAAATACGACAAGTTTTTTTTGCACAAAATTCACCACTCACTGCAATAAAAATAGTCATGGTCACATGTGAATGCAAACATTTCTAAATCTTAAGTGTTAATATTTTAAACCATTAACTTCCTGGAAAGGAATCAAGTCTTATTCTATTGTGTACATTAAAACTCCTGTTCCCGCTGTTTATTTTGCTTCAGATATGATATATTAGAAACACAAAAAAATGGGCTAGATAACAATTAAATGTATTTTGCATTTAGAACAGCACAACTGAACATAAGAAAACCGTGGGGAGCGTACAGCTAGAGATCTCGTAGCCACTCCCATACTGTAACTAGCCATTTTCATGCTAAAGCTGTAGGCCTTTAACATATGAGGAGAGGCTGAGAGAGTTGGGACTTATCAGCCTGCAGAAGAAAAAAGCTCACAGGGGATCTTATCAATGTGTATAAATATGTGACAGAAGGCAGTAAAGAAGTCTGAGGCAGACTCTTCTCAGTGATATCCAGTCAAAGGACAAGAGGCAATGGGCACAAATTGAAACACAGGAAATTCCATTCGAACATAAGAAAAAACTTTTTTACTGTGAGGATGGCTGAACACTGGAAAAGGTTACCCAGAGGCATCATGGAGTCTCCAGTCATATTCAAAACGTGACTGTGTATAGCCGTGAGCAACCTAATCTAGCTGACATTGCTTTGAGCACGAGGGTAGGACTAGACAATCTCCACAGATCCCCTCCAACCTCAACCATTATACGACTCTATGATTCTGTAACATAACTTTGTTGAAACAGATTAAATGTATAAAATTTAAATTCAGATCAATATCGACAGTAATATTTGGAATAACTGAAAAAAAAAAACTAAACAGAAAGGCACTCACCTTATCATCAATTATAACCAAATCCCTTGGTTCAGTGCGATCTATTTTCAAAACACGGTATTTGGTTTCTGCAGGATTACTTCCAACGAGAAAATACCGCTACATTAAAAAAAAAAGTCAGAATATTATACAAGACAAAGCAACCAAAGCCCATTGTAACATAAGACATCAACAACACCATTTATATAGTTTCTAGACTAGATCAATTTAAACTAACATCAAATATGTAATATTCCATATGGATGGTAAATAAACTGTTCTAGACATCAGTATCTTAAGTAGGTACATTTGCATAAAATCAAGCTTTACAGCCTAAAAGACCTCATTCTCTCCAATGTATAAGGAGAAAAAAAAAAAAACAAAACTGAAGAAAGGTGAAAACCTGTTTAGAGAGGAAAAAATATAACTTACACCAGGCACTGTCCAATACACCCTGCCCCAGCCATTACTGTCTTCCCATTTGCTTTGTCAAATTCCGCAGCTTATACACATGACTTTGTAACTTTCAGTGATCTAAAACTACTGTTGCTGTATCGTAGTCCATTGCTATTTCTGCCAACTAGTCTTTCCTAGTCCATAGCAAACACAGAAAAATTGTAAGTACTTCAGTACTGCAAGTTTTCTTCATTTTTTATTTATATTCGCTATGATAGACTTCTCACCAATGCTCTTCCACAACACTCAAGTTTAATTTGACCAGCCATGCTGGTTAGAAACATCACTTTCAAAAAAAGTTAGCTTTATTACTCTTTTAAAATACAAAAGAAAGACCACAGATAAACATACAATGTTAAGGGAATCAACCTATAAATGATTTTTTACATTTAGAGGAATCAACAGTAAGCACAGGTTGCAGGACTGACGTGTTATAAGCAGCTCTCATTTTACTAATTCGTTTAATCAGTGTGGTGCTACCACACAGCAAGGTGTAACTCATTAATAATGCTCAGCCTAGGAGGAAAGCATAGCAAATTCATGTGGATCTATGCAGCCACCTCTTCATTTTAAAAGTCACGTGGATTTAAGACGTGGGAGAGGAAATCAATAACGTTCACACAAACCTCAGAATTTTGTAATTTATCCCTATCAGATGTTAAGAAACATCTTTACTATCAAAATATTTAAGGTGAAAGAACTTAAAAGCCCTCTTCAGCTTCCTTGAAATCACAAGAGCATCTAGATAGTCAGTAAGGTCTAAAAAAGAAAATGAAATACTTAAGAGCTATAAAAGGAAACACCCACCAACTCCTGTCTCCACCTTGTACACTGACATTACAGTGCTTACTGAGTGGCAAGTTTTGCTGTTTACTCCTAAATGATAGTAAAGAAGGCCCTTCAGAGTCATTTACCATCGCAGCACTCCCTCACTGAAGCCTTTGGGGCAGCACATTAGCACAGGAAACTGTTTCCTACTGTTTTTTAGCAGCGATGTGCTGCTGTGCTCAGCCCAGGCTCCCCAGCCTGCTCCCTCCAGAGTACCCCTTGCAGGAAATCCCTCACTGCCAAGATCTGTTCTTCCCCGGAGGGAAACCATAATGCCAGGGAGCGGGTCAGAGCCCCCAGTGCGTGGCACTGAATGGCACAAAGGTGGATGATGGAGCTCTTCTGATGGCATCACCCACCAGCAAGAAATGCCAAACCACCAAGACAGACGTTTGCCTAGACCATGCCATCATACCACCTTTTTTTCTTCATGGAGTAGAAAGTGAATGGGCAGAGGGAAATATATTAATTTGTAATACACAGTTGATAAGTCAGTTTACATTTTAAGAGTGCTGCTTCTCTATTTGTAGAAAATTGCTAATTAAAGGCAAACAATTTAAAGTAGTCCATAGTACTGCAATACAGCTCAGTGATCTCCCTCCATGATTAAGCAAGCATAATTTCTTCCGAAAGTGACACCTACGGTTACCAACAAACCATCCTGAATAAAAACACAGTACAACTTTAAGATGCTTGTCCAAAGAGCAGTTTGGACCAAAAACCACATTTAAATTGGAACATGACACACAGGAAGAGAGAAAAAGAGAGAGACGGATATACAGTTGCAAATGCTATTACTAAGGAAGTTCAGCTGGATGCTTCTCCACTTCCATTTTAAGAGACCAACAAAACATGTGGAAGTGCTACAATGAATGCATCACTCCCACCATCTCGGCAGTTGCGGCAGTGAAGTACGCACAGCTGCAGCGCCAGCTTTAGGTGTTGCTGCTGCTCCTGCTCAGAACAGCAGCAGTTAGATTAGCTGAGAAGCAATTGCATCTGCAGACTGTGGTAGCAACCACCATAAACAATGGTACTTAACAAGCTCTCTTTGAAGTCCTTTAAGGACTAATTTAGGAGTTTTGTTTTAAGGTAGAAAGCTAGGCTGTGTAATGTATTAAGGAAGGTCAGTTGTGAACCGTGTCAAAACCCAGCATCGACGGACTTAAAGATACCTTCTTAGAAAGCCAGGTAATGGGAAATCTCTATTTAGCAAATTAGGATCTTACCCACACTACATGTTAGAGGATATTCTTGTGGAAGTAATAAAGAAGGAAACATCTGCAAAAACTTTTGAATTTGGACTAGTCCTCAAAACTAGGAATCACAGAATCACAGAATGTTAGAGACTGGAAGGGACCTCGAAAGATCATCTAGGAGCAGGAACACCTAGATCAGATCACACAAGAACGCATCCAGGCGGGCTTTGAATGTCTCCAGAGAAGGAGACTCCACAACCTCTCTGGGCAGCCTGTTCCGGTGCTCTGTCACCCTCACCGTAAAGAAGTTTTTTCTCATATTCAAGTGGAACCTCCTATGTTCCAGCTTGAACCCATTGCCCCTTGTCCTATCACTGGATGTCACAGAGAAGAGCCTGGCTCCATCCTCCTGACACTCACCCTTCACGTATTTATAAACATTAATTAGGTCACCCCTCAGTCTCCTCTTTTCCAGGCTAAAGAGACCCAGCTCCCTCAGCCTTTCCTCATAAGGGAGATGCTCCATTCCCTTCATCATCTTTGTGGCTCTGCGCTGGACTCTCTCCAGCAGTTCTCTGTCCCTCTTGAACTGAGGGGCCCAGAACTGGACACAATATTCCAGATGCGGTCTCACCAGGGCAGAGGAGAGGGGGAGGAGAACCTCTCTCGACCTACTGACCACACCCCTTCTAATACACCGCTAGATGATATGAATGCTAACAATGCAAAAATTAAACAAAAAAAGACATTTCAGCATTATCTGCTTCTGCTGCCTAATTTATGCATCTAATGAACAGATAAGTCTGTCTTACTGGATGATACGGAACACAAACAAAACCATATCAGTGACATGCAGGTGCAATTAAATTCACCATCACGCTAATACTAGGAAAGAATAAAGAAAAATACCAAATAAACATAACACTGAGCATGTAACATCAAATAAATTAATTTCTGAGTTTGTAATATAATTGCCAAATTAATCAAAGCTAAAATGCGCTGTACTGTTTACACCTATTTTGATAAACAGAAAACCATTAGGGTAAAAGAAATTAGAATCCACAGGTAAGCTACAGAAACCTTTCCGGGAGTTTCTATCCTTATTCTATTCTTCTGTTTATTACTAAGTTGAACTGAATAAATTGAAGCATTTTCCAAATATCTCAAACTATTCCACTCTACAGCAAAGCCACTGCATTTAGATAAATGGACAGCCTTGACCAACAAAGTACATTCTCAACAGAACAGTACACTAAGATAAACTGTGCAGACTTCCTCACACTACTCTGCCAAAGTCCTTCAACCATCACCTGAGGTGAAACACGCTGTTTCCAGGTTTAGTCTGCCCTTGGCCTTTGCTGAAACTTGTTAACAAGTGCACTCTACCAGCCACTGCAGTGCACCACGCAGGTACGTGCCTATGAGATCTGGACTGAAGCTTAATTTATGGCACAATTATCACTAGGCAACCACAAGACAGGAACAATCGTTAGTCACTTCCACCTGGGACTAAGTTTTAATGAAAGCAATCTAATTGAAAGGCTTTACACCCTCTTTTATCAATCTTTTGATTCAGTCAAACCAATAAAAATAGCTTCTTCTAAAAGGAGTCTAAACAAAATAAAAAACTTCTTACTGCAAATTGTTGTTTATAATGGCAGGATAACAGTTCTGAAATCAAATATTCTGCCCACAATTTTTCTTTTTCTTTGAGAAGACTGCTTCTTAGAACTCCTGGTCTAAAACTATAATTTTCTTCTTCGTATAGACTAATTATCATTAAATGTTAGCACTGCAAAGAACTTACTTCATTCATCAGTTAAAAAGCAACACACAGCTTAATCAGCAGAAAGAAAAAAGAAATGAAAATACACTAAAAGTTACTTGTAAAATACAGCAGTGCACTAATACAGCCAATTTTTAAACCTGCAAATAGCATCAAGAAAACACTTAAGAACTTATACAAAATGGTATACAAACTGGTGGAATGACATGAAGAAAGGAAGAGATGATAAGGGACCTGGGAAGATCATGGAGCAGATCCTCCTTGAAGCCATGTTAAGACACGCATGAGACCAAGAGGTGATCCGAGACAGCCAACATGGCTTCACCAAAGGCAGATCTTGCCCGACCAATCTGGTGGCCTTCTATGATGGAGTGACGGCATCGGTGGACGAAGGAAGGTGACGGATGTAATTTACCTGGACTTGTGCAAAGCCTTTGACATGGTCCCTCACCAAATCCTTCTCTCTAAATTGGAGAGCTATGGATTTGAATGATGGACTGTTCAATGGATAAAGAATTGTTCAGCTGGTCACAGCCAAAGGGTTGTGGTCAACGGCTCTATGTCTGGATGGATGCCGGTCACAAGTGGTGATCCTCAAGTGTCTGTCTTGGGACTGGTGCTCTTCAACATTGTTATCAGTGACATAGATGAGGGAATCAAGTGCACCCTCAGCAAATTTGCAGACAACACCAAGCTGAGTGGTGCAGCTGATACAATAGAGGGAAGGGATGCCATCCAGAGGGACCTGGACAGGCTGGAGAAGTGGGCCCATGAGAACCTAATGAGGTTCAACAAGGCCAAGTGCAAGGTGTTGCACTCGGGCTGGGGCAATCCCAGGTACTTGTATAGACTGGGAGAAGAATTCCTTGAGAGCAGCCCTGTGGAGAAGGACTTGGGGGTCCTGGTGGACAAGAAGATGAACATGAGCCAGCAGTGTGCGCTTGCAGCCCGGAAGGCCAACTATGTCCTGGGCTGCATTAAAAAAGGGGTAGCCAGCAGGGAGAGGGAGGTGATTCTCCCCCTCTACTCTGGTCTTGTGAGACCCCATTGGGAGTACTGTGTCCAGGCCTGGGGTCCCCAGCACGAGAAAGACATGGAGCTCTTGGACCAAGTCCAGAGGAGGGCCACAAAGATGATCAGAGGGCTGGAGCACCTCTCCTATGAAGAAAGGTTGAGGGAACTGGGCTTGTTTAGCTTGGAGAAGAGAAGGTGCTGGGGACACCTCACTGCAGCCTTCCAGTACTTGAAGGGAGCCTATAAACAGGAGGGGGAGCAACTGTATACAGGGGTTGATAGTGACAGGACAAGGGGGAATGGTTTTAAACTAAGACAGGGGAGATTTAGGTTGGATATCAGGCAGAAATTTTTCACTGTGAGGGTGGTGAGGCACTGGAACAGGTTGTCCAGACAACCTGTGGATGCCCCATCCCTGGAGGCATTCAAGGCCAGGCTGGAT